TCACAGAAATTCATCACTTGAAAATTTTTTTTATTTATTTAATCCACTTAGTAAGATAACATGTTTTTTTAATCCTTAATAATTTTAGCATTGTCAATACATTATTAATAATATATTTTTAAAGATCAGTACAAAAAGTTAGCTTATTAAATATTTATTAAGATTATAAATTTATCTTAATAAAATTTATTAAAAAATTAGCTTATATTTTAACAGCTTACAAAATACAATCAAATGTAAAACACTTGGAAATTTATCTTATAATTTCTTTTTATTAAATTATATTACAAGTTTTATTAGTAGATTCTTATGTTTGTAATTTCATATTAAATAATTTACATATATATTTGAAATAATTAATTTAATTTAAAATTATCGAATTTTCATGTTCAACCTATTTTGAAAACAATATCAGTAAAATTTCGAATTCAAATTTTTCATTATATAAACACATCCACTTACCTAATTCAGAAATTTCAAACGTTCTTGTACCTAAAAATTATATTCCAAAAATGAATAACAAAAAAAAAAATTTCATTTCAACAAAACACACAACAACATATTAAATGAAATTTCAATTTATTACTATCTTTGTGATTATTGATTATTTTTATCTATAAAATTAGTCTTCATTCTTTTATATCACAGAAATTCAACTTCAAAAACACTGAATTATAATGCACATAGTACAAATACACAAACAAAACACTAAAATTAAAGATGCTTTGGTGGTTCTCCGCTGCCACCAAATTTGAAATGGGGTGCAAAGATGGGCCACCGCCTACATGTTGATGAATTAAAATATCCTTGCAATTCTGGCAAGTTCTTCATCCTATTGTGGTAGTCCTTTAGAGTTGGGAACTCATCAATGATGCTTGGATGAAAAAGTCTGTAGAAATCCAAATTCTCATACACCATAAAATCTACATAAGTCACATCATCTCCAGCTAGGTATTTACGATTACCAAGAAACTTATTCCACAAGCTGAAAGCACCAGGAAGAGTTTTTATAAAATCATCTTTCAATTTCTCGTAATCATTGCTCACGGCAACCGTTCTCAAATTATTACGAAAATCAGCACTTTGCTGTTCAGCTAAAAACACTCTAAGCCTTTGCTGATCGTTTTGGCCATCCAGTCCATACTTGCCAGCCAGGTATCTCAGAATGGCAAAGGTCTGAGATAGTTTGACATCGCCGTCCATGTAATATGGCAAATTTGGAAAATCGAGACCCAAATTGAATTTGTCCTTTTGCCACTCGCCATCACCTCGTGCGTATCTTTTATCCACGAAATCCACTTTCCGGAAGTGCAAAAGATATCTAATAGGTTCGGCTCGACCCCTCACATCCCAATATCCTAGCACGCGCCTGATCATCCTGTGTATAAACGTTAAAAGCAGTTCAGAATTTGGCAGTGACGCAAATCCACCGCGAGTTTGACCTCGTTCTGTGATCTCCTCTAACAATTTTTCTACCGTTGCCCCAGTTAGATTTTTTTTTTTCTTATGTTGAAACTTCCCTGCTGAATGAATGCCCTTGACTGCGGGACTGCCTTCTATCGATCAAGTTTTACACATCAATTAGGATTACACATGCTTTGTGTCTTTCAATTTATTTCCGCAAAAACTTTTTTATAAATAATAAAATAATAAAATATGTTTAGTAAATTAAATAATTTTTAAAACAGCAACGATAGTTCTTCTTTAGGTTTTTTTATAACATAAACATTCTTTTACTGATATCAGCAACGTGAAATGTACAATAAATATTGATTCACGTCATTCACGTGTCATGTTCATGTTACTTTAGTGGTTTCATAATAACAAGTATTTGATTTATTTTATTTTTCATTGCTACGGTGAACTTTTTATTATAACTATAGTTATTTTTGTACCATGGAATTTTAAACTGAATCTTTTGTAGATGTGATAACCAAAATTAGATGCAAAATTAAGAATTGTTATTTGTTCAGATTAAATAAGCTTGAAATGGTTTTTTTTTTAAATACTTCTCGCTCAAATACTTCACATAAGTAATAAAATAATTTTGTAAATTTAATAATTTTTTAAATAATGTTGATACTTCTTCTTTCTGTATGTTTTTTATAACATAAACATGAATTTGCTGATATCAGCAACGTGAAATGTGTAATAAATATTGATTCACGTTCATGCTACTTTAGCGGTTTCATAGTAACTAATATTTGATTTATTTAATTTTTATTTTTCCATCTCTTGGATGAAATGTTTTATTATTTATTATAGTTATTTTTGTATGATGGAATTTTAGATTGAATATTCAGTAGATGTGATAGTCAAAATTAGATGCAAAATTAACGATTATTATTTGTTCAATTCATCTAAGTTTGAAATGTTTTTTTTTTTTTTATAAATATATCTAGCTCAAATAAGTGGATGTAGTTATATAAATATAACATAAAAATGAAATTGTATCTTCATTTAAAACAATTCGTTTATTATAACAGTTGTTTTCTTAAAATTTCATTTTATATCATTCAAATGCATATTTAATTTCCGTAATTACACCTTAAAAATATTAAAATTATAATATTATCAGTAAACTTTTGTGTTGTATTTATTCATATTATAGCCAAGAATACCATACCAACGTTCTGTCACCATTAGTGTTATCAAATATCACGACTTAATAATTTCTGAATATTTACAGCTGATCCATTTTTATAATAATTTGAAATTTAAAATATGATTACATGCCATAAAAATTATTTTCGGTTATTTTAAATGTTTCAAGATCAAATCATACTATTTGCAATAAAAATAATTAATAATAATGAAGATGAAATGGTTTCACATTGATGTGTGAATTGAAATAAATTTAAATCAGTATTTATTTTCGTATTGTTTAATTCTATTGTCTTATTATGTATATATATATATATATATATATATATATATATATATATATATATATATTACATAGCAATGTGACAATCTCATTCTCATTATTTAAATTTTATTGCTCATTTTAATACACTGGCAAAATAGTTTCGACAGCTGAATTCTTTTTTTTTTTAAATTTTTTTCTGAGTGTTTTTAACAATCGAGTTTTACTTTTCAAATATTCTATACTTTAATGATAACTAAATATTATGTTATCACAATAGTATTTTTATGGTGTCTAGATATATTTAAACAAAGACATTTATAGATTTATTTGAAATAAGATTAATAGATTTATTTAAAATAAATCACTTGTAAAATGAGTTATTTTCGAGGCAAAGATAATAATCTACGAAATGAAAATGTGAGGATAAATTTTAATTGTATTTAACAATAATTTTTATTTTTATTTTGTGTGTTTCCATTTCATTTAAATTAAATATAAAAATTAGATTAAAATTTAATAACTTTAATTAATTTAATAAACAATTAATTAAATTATAATTGAATAAATTTAATTAATTAAATAAATAATTAATTATAATTATAATTGAATAAATTTAATAAATAATTAATTATAATTATAAGTGAATAAATTTAATTAATTTAATAAATAATTAATTATAATTATAATTGAATAAATGTAATTAATTTATTAAATAATTAATTATAATTATAATTGAATAAATTTAATTAATTTAGTAAATAATTAATTATAATTATAATTGAATAAATTTAATTAATTTAATAAATAATTAATTATAATTATAATTGAATAAATTCACTTAATTTAATAAATAATTAATAATAATTATAATTGAATAAATTTAATTAATTTAATAAATAATTATAATCATAATTTAAGAAATTTAATTAATTTAATAAATAATTAATTTTAATTATAATTTAATAAATTTAATTAATTTAATAAATAATTAATTTAAATTTAATTTAGTAACTTAAATTAACTATTTATTAAATTAATTAAATTTAATTTAAATTTAATAAAATTTAAATATAGCAATCAGATTAAATACAATATTCATAAATATAATTAGCGATACAAATATGAAATTTTAATAAAAAAATTTCGCCATCGTTAGGTAATAAAAATAATGAAGTAAAAAGTGAGTCACATTGATATGTGAATTGAAATAAATTTAATTCAGCATTTTCGAATTGTTTCATTATTTTATCTATAGATAGTTTTTACACGGAAATGGGTCATTTCTCATTCACATTATTTATATATTACTGCGTTTTTTAATAAACTGGCAAAGTAGTTTGGACAGCTGAATTCTATTTTGTTTGTCTGAGTATTTTTAACAATCGAATTTTCCTTTTTAAATATTCTATTCTTTAATGATAACTATAAATATTCTGTTATCACAATAGAGATTTTATGATATCCAGATATATTTATACAAAAGGCATTTATAGATTTATTCGAAATAAACTAAATTTATCACTTAATGAGTTATTTTCGAGGTAGACATAAAATTCTACGAAATGAAAATGTGAAGATATATCTTAATTGTATTTAGCAATAATGTTATTTTATTTTGTGTGCTTGCTTTTTTTTCATTTACATTAAATATAAATTTTAAATTACAGTTTAATTACAGTATTCATAAATATAATTAACGAAACAAATATCAAATTTTAATCTGAAAATTTCTGAATCGTCTGGTAAAAAATTCGCAAATTTCGCAATCGTTTGGTATATTGTTATATATAAAAGCATTTGCTAAATTTTTTTCAAAAATGAAGGCAAATAATAAAGTTCTCTTTGATTACTATAACATGTTGTTGTTGTTTCTTATCCCACTTGGGTGGCCAAGCCCACAAGCCCATATGGACTCATGATTGAAGGGGAAGGAAGCAGCTTCTGTTGTGATGGAGCACCCGTAGGTAGAAGCCTGACTTTTGCTCTGTGACGCTCTTACAGTCATAGGACTGACCGGGACCTACGGCTTAAAGTGGATTCCGAACCACTACAAACATCCATGGCACCGCCGGGATTCGAACCCGAAACCTGTGGCACCGAACGCCAGAGCGCTAGACACTCGGCCATTCAGGTCCCAAATTCCCACCCACCCAAGTACTGACCGCGCCCAATGATGCTTAACTTCGGTGATCTAACGAGAACCGGTATATTCAGCATGGTACGGCCGTTGGCACTATAACATTCAAAACATATATTATATAATTAAACTTTTTACTATTTCTGCTACCGTTCAATTGCTTGTAAATAACTATTTTTTTACAAATAGAAGTCATATAAAAGTGTTAATAAGAAAAATAACTATGCATAATTAATTATAATAAACGTTCGACATATTAAGTAAACACGAAACGTCATTAAGTAGTAATAATGGCAAATATAAGCATTGATGTTTTCCAATTGTTTTGATAAATAAAGTCTTTTATAAAATTAAAAATAGTGTGCGAAATTACTGATTAATACACATTCAGTAATTTTTCTTTTCATTCTTCGAAAATTTTAGACAGTTTTAAATTTTTAAAATGTAAAAATAATTTTCTATTAAATATCTAAAATTCCTGTAGAAATTAATAAATTGTATATTTGATACATATTTATATTTGATATATTTGATATTGTATAATGTATAGTTGATTACTATTTAGTTATTAATGCAAAGTTACTAATTTTTCTTTACATTCTTCGAGAGTTTCAACCAGTTTTAAATTTGTTAAATGTAAAAATAATTTTCTATTAAATATCTAAAGTTCCTGAAAATATTAATAAATTGTATATTTGATACATATTTATATTTGGTATATTAGATTACTAAACATTCAGTAATTTTTTTTCCTTCTTCGAGAATTTCAGATAGTTTTAAATTTGTTAAACGTAAAAATAATTTTCTATTAAGTATCTAAAATTCGTGAAGATATTAATAAATTGTATATTTGATAAAATAAATTTATTTTCATTGTCATTTTAAAAATGAATCATTTATCATACGCTTATTTTATGCATTTCACCCAAATAAGTATTTCAAAAATATTTGCAATATATAAACAAACTTAAAATTGAAGAAATTTTATATATATATATATATATTGTTGTGCTTACCTTGATTGTGTGAAAAATTTCTAACAAACTGATATTTTTGATATTTCAACTTTCAATGCCTTCTTTCTCTATACGATTATTATTAAAGAAACTTAAATTCCTAATACAAATTAATACTGATGTCATATATAATATGTATGGATACTTTATTCATTACAATAACAATTCAATTTACTACGAATTAAATGAAATCTTTCAATGCTTTCTTTCTCTATACGATTGATATTAATTCCCAATACAAATTCATATTCATATGTGGATACTTTATTCATTACAATTACAATTCAATTTACTGCGAATTAAATGCAATCTTTCAATGCTTTCTTTCTCTATACGACTAATATTAAAGAATATATAAATTCCCAATACAAATTCATATTCATATATGGATACTTCATTCATTATAATTACAATGCAATTGATTACGAATTGAATAAATTTTATGAAATGTTTACCAGAATAAATATTTAATCAAAATATCATAAGCCAGATATTATAAACATTCTTTAATAAAATTAATTTGTTAATAGCAGGATAATATATTCTTTTCGAAAGTTTCAATATTTTTGGTCTAACAAAATAAAATTTATAAGGTGTAACAATAATATTACCAAAATAGTATTAGCTCAAATGATGCTGATTGACGTTTCTTTCTGTTCAATAAAATAACAATAGTGGTCAAAAGTCAATCAAAGCAATGTTATAAATCATAAATCAAGCTGAATAATTCTCAATAACATTAATTTATTAAAAAATATGCATAACATTTTAGAATAGAAGCTTTAAAGTTTTGGAAGTAACAAAAAGTTTCACATATAACAATGTTGAAAAGTACTATTAAAGTAAATAAAGCTATTTTTTCTTTTCTAAGCAAAAGTTAAAAGTCAAATTCAAGCATGTTTTGGTGCCTCTCCGCCACCTCCAAATTTGGCCTTTGCATTAAAAATAGGCCACTTCCTAAAACTAGAGGAATTCAAGTATTTTTGCATTTGGGGCAAATCCCTTATTCTGCGGTGGAAAGCTTTCAGAGTGGGGAAATCATCAAGGATTTTGGGATGGAAGAGTCTGTAGAAATCCAGATTCTCATAAACCATGAAATCCACATACGTGATCTTATCGCCAGCCAGGTACTTACGGTCTCCAAGGAACTTCTCCCACATCTCGAACATGGCTGGAATGGTCGTCTTTACAAATTCATCCTTTGCAGAATCAAAATCACTGCGATTCACGAAACACCTCAAAGTCTCGCGAAAATCGACACTTTGCTGCTCAGCCACAGAGATTCTGAGCTTTTGCTTCTCGTCTTTGCCATCGAGATCATATTTGCCACCAAGGTATCTCAAAATTGCCACTGTCTGCGTGAGTTTGGTGTCACCATCGATGAAGTGCGGTATATTTGGAAAGTCTAAACCAAGAGTAAATTTAACTTTCTTCCAATCATCTTCACCATAAGGATACTTCTTATCTTCAAAGTCAACATTCTTGTAGTGGAGAATATATCGAATGGGTTCTGCTCTACCTCGTAGGTTCCAGTATCCTAATGTAGGTTTCACCATTTTGAAAGATTGGACCTTTTGCACAAATGGAGAATGAGATCAAATGAAGCCTGATGCCTCAGACTTAAAAGTTTCTTTGATATTTAAAAGTGTCTTTCTCTTTTTTTTATTGTCTAGTTCGCTAATTTAATTTAATGATATTGCACGTTTTTGAAAGATTTGCTTACGTTTTCATTTTAATATTGCTATTCCTATATCTTGTAGCCTTAATCATTGCGATAATATTTTGTATAATCATCGGTCGGTCGTTGTACTTCACTAACTTTTCACGGAATATAATGAGAGAAATGCAATAATTCTTATTTTTTCTTCCTTATTCAAGCCTATATTGTACCTTTATTTTTATTAAATGCCCCAATTGCAACAAAGGCTTTATCGTTACCTTTGTTGGTTTATCTGCCCTCTAGGCCGTGATAACACCCTCTTTGAGAATCGTGATTTCGTTATTTGAACGTTATTATTATAGAATCGTAATTTGATCCTATAATTTCATATCAATGCTTAAATTACAGTGTATGTATATCACAGAACTGTATTTAATAAAATTTTCACCAAGGAAAAACATAAAATATTGCAACATTGTAGTATAAAATATTGCTTCCTCCTACGCACTGCAAGAGCGCCCCTTGTGAGTTTCAGGAGAAATTATCAGTATTCATCGAGACCTGAGAAGACTTACCTGAGAGGACGTACAATGCAACTGGCGCTGCTGGCTCAGAGACTTTAAGTTTACAGTCTCACACCCCGAGAGAATATACAACCCTGTGCATAAGTTGGCCTACAAACTTTCATCCTGAGAGGAAGTACATATGCTGAGTATAGGAAGTATATCTCATGCATTCAATGCAAACCTGAATATCTTTACTTTTAGCTTAGAAGTGAATTCCTTCCACGAATGCATAAGTGTATGTTTTTGAATGTTAATTATTGTATGTGTGCCGTGTTCATGCTTGTGTAAATAAAGCTAAATCTATCCTTAAAGCTTAAGCTAAATCTGTCCTTAAATCTAAATCTGTCTTGATCAAACCTTTGTCTCAACACTCAGATCCAGTTGCACAAACAACCGACTACACTACAATATAGTTTATTTTAAAACGTTTGACTTTTGTTTCTTCTTTGCTACGTTGAATTCTTTAATTATATGTTTGTGGCTATGACATACAAAATGACATTCGGCATCTGTATGACACAATGCATGCACGTTTGCAGGCTTACATTCAAAATTCTAGAGGTTAGACCGTCTATTAATGTAACAGCATTTTACATTTGAAATGTATTTTCTTGATCTTAAAATAACCTGTGATCTTTAAAATTTAATCAATTAAACATGTTAACTAGACAAATGCATTGTTCGAATTTCATTACTGTACAATAATTTTTTCTTGTCGGTGGGATTTTTTTTTTTCCGTCAGTGTAGTTAAATTGTCTCAAAAATAATAATAAAAAAATAATAATAATAAAAAAAAAAAAAAAAAAATGAAAAAAAAGTTTGATCTCTTTCATATTTATACTTTATTTTCGTATTTCTAACTACTAAATGGTAAAAAAAAAAAAAAAAAAAAAAAAAAAAAAAAAAAATCCAGATAAGTAATTTTACAAGTCAGCGCGCCATGAAATACTTTATTGTGTGTCACCATATTGCACGCACTATATCCGTTTGTAATGATGAAAAGATTGACGAAATCGACTAGAGTCACGTTTCAATTAAATATAAATTTATTTTGCATGACATCATGACGGGGTTTTTTTTATTGCAGAACATCGATGAAACATTTAAATGCATTAAAATTTTCAAAGATTTCAAAAAAAAAAAAAAAAAAAATTGTTACGAAAAAGGGAAGATTAATTATTTGCCAATAATTTAAATTTTCAGAGAAATATACACTCATGTCCATAAATTAAGGATAATGAAGTTCAGGTAAAGAAACAGACAGAAGCAAAACAAATTTGACTTATTTGTAAAGTCTATTTATTAAACAAAAGGTAAAGAGCAAAAAAGATGCTATATGTTTGACATAATTAATAAAAATTGCGATTTTTACTCCCTGGAGCAAATTTAAAAAAAAAACCTATTTACAAAAAACAGTATAACATGGTTAATATGGAGTATGTCTCTCGGACGATGCAATACAGGCCTTGCAACGCCTGGGCATGCTGAGTATCAAATTATCAATCTGATCTTGGGGAATATTACACCACTCATCAAGCGATGCCCTCCGAAGTTCCGGTTTACAGGTGGGAGGGGGTTGACAGGCTACAATTCGTCGGCAAGCATATCCCACACATGCTCTATTGGATTCAAGTCCGGTGAGTATGCTGGCCAATCCATACGGGTGATATCCTCCAATTGAAGGCATTCGTCTACAATGTTTGCACGGTGAGGACGGGCGTTGTCATCCATAAACAGAAATTCAGCACCCATGGCGCCCCGAAACAAACGTACATGTTGTTCCAGAATGACATCCCGATAGATGTGGCCTGTAATCGTTACAATCTGAACATGCAGGTCAGTTCTGGAAC